ATTATGTACTTATTTATTCATCACAAATATTCTTAGGTAACACTTCAGTCAATGAAATTGTAGCACAATAAGAGAAACAAGGAAATCAAACTGGCCAAAATATGATGCAACCAAAAACAAAAACAAACCCGAACATCCTGTAATAAAATGTGATTTTTCATCATAGACAACAGGGGCCACATTTTGAATCTATACTCACATCTGCATTCAATCTGAATTGAACCAAGCAACCATCAAATCAGTCAGAGCTGATTTCTGAATTGCTGGATCAGGGCTGAAGTTGGTGAACACACTTAATTCATAGGAGTGTATTGAAATAGCTCACACTACATGCTTATCATTCATTGGATCAGTGCTATATTCACCTCTCTCAAAAGATGATGTAAGGGATATACAGTCTTGCAGCTCCCTTGAATGAACCCTCTCCAGCAAACTTGAGCTGGCTTTTTGACATCTCCAGATGCTAACCCAAATCCAAGCTTCTACTTTCCGTATTTCTTTCTCTCTGCCCTGGGAAAGGGCAATTTTAACATGATTCCACAACTGCAGATGAATTACAGTTTTGTAACTGTGATCACTGGATTGTGATCAGAATACTCAAGCTATCAGACACTGTGAGCCAGTCATTTTGCAATAATAGTTTGCTGCCCTAAGGCAAAATTAAAATTAATTTTCAGCATACATATGTTTGTGTGTGTGTGTGTGAAAGAGAAAGAGAGAGAGAGAAGGGGGAGAGAAGAGTGTGAGTGATGTGGGAAGGGTTGTGTGACTAAATGTTATTTCCATGCCCCATAATGTATAAGTAAACAGAACAAAAATAATTTCATCAATAGCTTCTTGTGCAGAACAAGAGAGAAAGAAAGAGCTTGGCTCCTTGATTCCTAGCACTTCTGGGGAGCATCCTGACTCAAACTGACTATAATTGCCTGTGAACAGAATGTAGTGTTCTGATGTAGTGAATATGAACATTTTGAAAATCCCATCCTTTAGCAGCTCTGAGGCAGAAAAAGAATTTTGTTAGACTGTCAGAAGAACAGAAGATGTTTGTTTTCTTTAGTTGTTAAGTCATGTTTGACTCTTCGTGACCCCATGGACCAGAGCACGCCAGGCCCTCCTGTCTTCCACTGCCTCCCGGAGTTGGGTCAAATTCATGTTGGTAGCTTCGATGATGCTGTCCAACCATCTCATCCTCTGTCATCCCCTTCTCCTCTTACCTTCACACTTTCCCAACATCAGGGTCTTTTCCAGGGAGTCTTCTCTTCTCATGAAATGGCCAAAGTATTGGAACCTCAGCTTCAATGTCCTTTGTCCTCAGGGTTGATTTCCTTCAAAATGGATAGGTTTGTTCTCTTTGCAGACCAGGGGACTCTCAAAAGTCTCCTCCAGCACCACAATTCAAAAGCATCAATTCTTTGGCAGTCAGCCTTCTTTATGGTCCAGCTCTCACTTCCATACATCGCTACTGGAAAAACTATAGCTTTGACTATGCGGACCTTTGTCAGCAAGGTGATGTCTCTGCTTTTAAAGATGCTGTCAAGGTTTGTCATTGTTTCCTCCCAAGAAGCAGGCATCTTTTAATTTTGTGTCTGCTGTCCCCATCTGCAGTCATCATGGAGCCCACTGCCTCCATATTTTCCCCTTCGATTTCCCAGGAGGTGATG